TTCACAAACATTTGACAGCTTTTGAAGCCATTTAGGAAAAAAGCCATTCCCACTTGGGAAAAGTTTTGTCTTTTGTAGATGAGTATTTTTGAAAAGCTCTATCAAGTTAGAGTTTATTAACTTGTGATAATCTGAAGATTTGCCAAACCTATGCTTTCCTTTAAAACTTGTATAAAAAATATATTTTCTAATTCTATAAAGAGTATAAGAATATCCCTATAAGAAGCAAAGACAGCATTGAATGTTCATATAACAGTTAAACTTCAACATAGACACAGGTATTCCTTTTAACTGTCTCTTATTTTTGCAGGAAAAAATATTATATTTCTAACTCTTTAAGCATAAGTTAAATGAAAACCCCAAAAAAACACTTAATGAAGGGGAATAAAAAATAAATCATGCAAAATGTGGGCTTTTGCAAGTGGCAATTGCATTTTTATATATATACCAAAAAGTTTAAACTTAATATACCAAAACCTCATTTACCTGAAGCACAATAATTCTAAATTTTTAACAATTTAACCTGCTGAAGGAATCTGATGAAATTGGCTTTTTTAATATCTGTGAAAGAGAATATATAAATCAAATTAAAATCATGGAAGCAATAATTCAGTGAATGCCATAATTTCTTTCTTCTTTTGTGAGTACTTAATATCCTAATTAAAAATCTCTCTTATCTCCTTGCAAAAGCATTTACAAACTCTAACACTGAGTAGCCTTACCCCAAGCTAGTCAGTGTGCATGAACAGGAAGATGATTTGCAGAAAGATAACTTTTAAATTGCTTCTTTATTAACTACAATAACACAATGTATCTTTCATTTCTTTCATATGCGAGCTCTTTCTGAGTCTTCCAATTCTTTGTCACCCTTCTTCGGAGGTCAGGGAAACTATGTAAGATATTTCTAAGGAGAAGGGTATATGACTAAGCAAATCTTTAATCCATAAAGTTTTCTTTATCTTCTTATGTAATAATAGCATAAAAAGATGGAGACGAATATTTACTGAGCAGCTAATGGTTATAAATACCATATTGGCAGCTTCATATACCTTTTAAGCCTTACAGCGTACCTCCAAACATCTCCATTTTGCTGATGAGCAGAAGTCTAGAAAGGTTCATACAGTAAATAAGTAGTGGGCTTAAACAAGAAGTCAAACCCATCTTGCTCTGAATACTGTGTTTCTTCCTCCCTGTCACGTGCTTTACCATATGAAAACGTCTCATTTTAAAGTGTACTTTAACATTTCTGGTATTATGGTCCTTCGTTTAATACTTGAGATATTGTCTGCTTCCTTTACAGTGGAGAAAAATGAAGTTATTTATAAAAAAGATTTAACCCTTGATCATTAATCTCTAGTGAGAAGAAAAAGGTGGGATTAGAATATATGTTTTTCTATTCCACATGCTGGTGGTTTTGGTTTGTTGTTTGTTTGTTTCAGTATATTGCTTTTTTAGGCATGCTTGCCCAGTTGTTTCCATTATCCTAGAAGGCCTTTATGCATATAAGCAAATCTCTCTATTGTTTTAAATCTTCCTACCCGCAGTATTCCATAGACTTCCTTTTGTTATAAGCCAATTCATTGGATTCAGATCAGTCACTGACACATGATCCTCCCATCAGTACCTGGAACTCATATAACTCATGATGTGAACCTCATGCTAACTTTTGAAGAAATTCATTGTGGCCATTGGTACCATAGAAAATAAGAATGTTTCAGCTTAAGTTCTAATGTTCTTACTTACTTATTGTTTATGAAAGTTATACCCAACTTAAAGCAGGATGCTTGACAAAAAAGAAAGAGCCAAAACAGTTCAAATTAATAAATAGCAAGATGGTACAAGGCCTCTGAGTTGAGTTCATTAATGCAGTTGATAACTCAATAGTATCTGCACTAGCAAGGTGGACATTTTTAAATGACTTAATTTTTAAAGTTCAGACTTTTCTGTTCCCTAAACTTCCAAATCACTGTATGTGCTTTCCTACTGTGATCCCATTTTATATTTTATTCTTCTTGAGCCTGCAAAATATTTACAATAAATTTTGATGTTTACTCCTCTTTTGCAAAGATAGCCTAACAAATATTTCATGATTTATTAAAAAACAACAAACCAACAACTGAGAACAATATTTATTGTGCTTTGTCTTCTTTGTTTGTTATGAAGGGAATGTAAAGCACTCTGTTTTGAAATGAATAGATGAATGGTAATGTGCTCCTCAATGGGACACTGTCTCAAAACCTATTTTATCTCTGTGACTGGGATCTTCTGTGTGCCTCAGTCAGCTGGTTGATCAGCACTACTTGGTGCTGGGACAAGAGCCAGGTTTGCCTAAAAGGAGTTTGGAATCGCCTTGAGCTCTCAGGAGCAGACCAACCATTAATGTACCACTCAGCATAGATGAACAATACAGAAACTGAACCCTAATTTATCACTTCACAACTCTTTCAAAATATCCAAATAGATAAAATGTCTTCATTCACTCAAATATTCAGTTTTAAAATCCAGATTGCATTGAAAAAGTCTGATATTTTATTTTTCTCCTTAGTACATGTTGCAAACGGATTTTTTTTAGCAAAAATAGCTAACACTTAGTGAATATATACTTTATTCTAAGCACTATTTAAGCTGCCTTCTCACTTAATCTTCACGTCAAGCCAATGAGTACATACCATTGTTATTAAGGTTGTTAAAACTGGAAAAGAAAGGTGTGGAAAGTTAACATAACTTACCTAGGGATTCATGGCTAATATGAGGATGAGTCAGATTAGAAACCAGTAAGTATGGTATTACAGCCTATCACTTATATTTCACTAACATCCTCATGCTTACCATACTGGCTAAATCAAGTTATCTGAAAGACTACTTTGCTCTTACAAGAATGTTGTGCTATTAGGCAAGAATGTTTTCTTCCTAAGTAAGACTGAGCTGGAAAAAGGGATGCAGAACTATAATCATTGAGGAAACTTCTTTTCCTAGGTTATAGGAAAAGAGAGTGTCCCTGTGAGAACAAGAGAAAAGAAGACAACAAAGTCAGACTTGGCTTACTCTCAGAGACTTCCCCCATCCTTGGAATCAGGGCCAGCAAATGCTTAGAAATTAAACTGTGTATGTGCTGTCATGGCACGGGCAAGCCAAATGAAATGGTAGTAGCAAGCAAAAATGAAATGTATTTTTAAATTTTTTGTTTAAATTGTATTTCAGTTACCTTAGGAGTACAAGTAAATTTTTGGTTACATGGATGAATTATGTAGTGGTGAAGTCTGGGCTTTAAGTGTACCTGTCACTCAAATTGTGTATGTTAAAAAATAAAATGTATTTTTAAGACATTTTCCCTGTGAGGAGCTCAAATCAAAACACAAACAATTCATGTCAAAACTGTTATCTAGGACAAAACAGATTTGCCAGATATGAAGATGGGATGAAGTCTACATATATACACAAAACCTTTCAAAACGTATATGCATATATCTGTATATGTGTGTGTGTGTGTATAAGTACAACTATGTATGTATCAGTATACACATATATAGTATACATATATATAGAGAGATTATATATTTACCAATATATTAGTACCTATTGTTAGTAAGATATATATACTAATATATTGGTATATATATTATTAGTATGCATATTATTATTTTAGTACCAATAATAATATATTGGTATATATTATTAGTATGATATATATGTACCAATATATTAGTATACATTAGTGTATATATTAATATTTAGGTATATATAGTACATTGATGTATCTACATACAAAGGTTTTGAAAGCTGTATGTGTGTGCCTGCGTGTGTGTGTGTATATACACATACTATCAAATAAACAAAATTTAGTCAAAAGCATCTTAAATTGGCTTGGTTAACAAATGACATATAATATGCGAACTAAACCAGTTTAAGATTTTAACCAAATCTGTTTTTCAATACACTGTAGAAAGAAGCATTGGGATGGATATTATCACTTGCTTGTTTTTACTATGCTTCTTTGGACTGTCACATTACTTATTAAATTTGAACATTCAAAAACTCTTGAGACATTTTAAAATAGAGCCTCATCAAAACTCTTCCTGTAGTCTCTATAATGTTCCTTAAAAAACCCAAGCATCCACACACTTAAACCAGAGAGTTCTAGAACTTTATAAAGTAAGCATACATGGAATAAACTGGATATTTTATATGAGGGAAATCCACTCTGTCAATCTCGTTTTCTGCAAACCTTTCTAAGTTGCTGCATGGATTCTGTAATCCTGGACTTCTTTCTCCCTTTACCGTCAATCTTAAGGCAGCAGAAATACTTAACAACACCTGTTATTTTGACAGGATGCTTCCTGGCCCTTCTCTCTAACTGCTTAAACCTTTCCTCTGTGTTGAGAAATGAAAAAACAAAACAAAACAAAAAAAAAAACTCAATTCCTAGTGGTTTCTAGTTGATTGACCTCTAATGAGCTATCTGGCATCAGCAGCTCCATGAGACTGAAAAGGTTTTTCCCATTCTCTGAACTTAGGCCAGTCTTGGGTTCAGTTTGAACAGTTTTGCACAGCTCATTCAATGCATGAAGGTGAATATAGACCATAAAGAAATGTTCTTTAAAAACAATGTCAGAGACAAAGATGTCTTATATCATTTTTTAATCCATCACTACAAATAAATATAAATGGGCCGGGTGTGGTAAGTCATGCCTGTAATCCCAGCACTTTGGGAGACCAAGGCAGGAGGATCACTTGAGGTCAGGAGTTCAAGACCCGCCTGGCCAACAGGGTGAAACCATGTCTGTATCAAAAAATACAAAAATTAGCCAGGCATGATTGTACATGCCTGTAGTCCCAGCTACACAGGAGGCTGAGGCACGAGAATCATTTGAACCCTAAGGGAGCCAAGATTGTGCGACTGCACTCCAGTCTGGGTGACAGAGTAAGACTCTGTAGCCCCCCAAAAAAGTGTGTGTGTGTGTGTGTGTGTGGTAATTAATGACATGCATAAAACTTAAGCCCCTTATTTTTTCCACTTTTACCACACAAGTTACTTGAGGAAAAATTGTTGTCATTTTTTATTATCATTTCCTTACCATGGGAGCTAGAAGCGTAAACAGACATTTGCAATGAGCTCATCCTCCCAAACGTCCTCTTCTCCAGCTCCCAGGTTTCTTCTTTTGCTCTTTTCTTCCTGTTCCCTCTTTCCATTTTTCAGTCTGTTTCAGTCAACATTAGCTTAGAAGAGCAATGGATTCTGAGACCTTCTACTCATTCTAATTCCTTCCATTACCAAGTAAGTACTTAATTAGTTGAAAGAAAGAACCTGATTTCATTAATAGGGAAAGAAAGTATGTATTCAACCCAGGAACAAGAGAAGAACAAAAAATCAGCAAGGTGGCCATGAGGTTAGGTTATAGAACCAGACAGATGGCTTCAAATATGAGCTCCTTTCCTTTGCTAATGACATGAACTTAGTTGGCTTGTTCACACTCAGAGACTCAGTCTTTCTATCTGCAAACTGAGATTCATGTCAGTTTTCTCGGAATTCAGCAGGTTTAATAAATAGCATTCCTCTTTCCCATCCACGATCTGAAAAAAATTGAGAAAATATGAAAAATAGTGGCAGATGGAGTCAAAATTTTCATCTTGATTCATGATAAGGTCTAAGTGAGATGATGTAACTTAGTGTCTGAACCAAATAGACCTACCAGGTAAATCTCAGACTGAGACATTTAACTACCTGCACATGCCAGACCGGACTTGAAATGCAGAGACCACAAAGGTTACACATCGGGCATGGAGGTGCTTCACCTTCTGACTTTTGGATGGGAGAGGAGGAGAAAAAAAAGTAAATAAAAGAAAAAAGGAAGAGCTGAAATCAGTATGCCCAAATTATTGCCCTCAAATTTACTAGTTCAATGAATCATCTTATTGCTCCTGGTAGAACAGTGATTAAGGGTTAGAAAAAGAAAAGTTCATATTGGGTGAAGCTTCAGGGGCTGGATGGAACTATTCCCCCATAATTTTCCTCCTCATTTCTCAGGTCTTAACTCTTTGTGACTAGACATTGCACTTACTGTCAATCAACAAGTGCCACCCACTCAGGGAAGGAGAGCAGCATTTTTTTTTTAACAACAGTCTGGTGTCCAGGTTCTTGCACTTCTCCAATACCAGCCATATCTCCACTGGGTTGTCTCCTAGACCCACAAGTGGCTGTTGTGCATGCTGTGCTCAGAAGGCTCTGGAATGAGTCACAATAAAATGTTAAATAAATGGACTGTAAGGTGATATTTTATCCAAAGCTGAAAATTCATCTCTTTCTTAACCTCGAGGAATGTCCATCCATATTATTCAATATAGTCTACTAGGGCACTGCAAAAAGTTTAAATGACAACCTCATGAGTCAATAATAAAATGTCTCCCAACTTGAGATTCCAGAAAAATGTTAATTCAAATAATGTTTTTCCTTGTTAAAGTTTGTTTCTTATGTACAATATAATAGTCCAAAAGAACCCCCCATCAAATTCTATTTTATTTGCAAAAAGATAATTTTGCAAATGAAAGATTACATATTATGTTTATGTGCCACATAATGACCTTTCAGTCAAGGATGGACCACATGTATGAAAGCAGTCCCAGAAGTTATAATGGAGCTGAAAAATCCCTATAGCCTGCTGACTTCTTAGCTTTTGTAGTCACATCAAAATACATTACTCATGTTGGCGGTGATGGTGGTATAAACACACCTATTGCTCTGCCAGTCTTACAAAAGTCTAGCACATGCAATTATGTATAGTACATAATACTAGATTGTCATAATAAATGACTAAGTTACTGGTTTATGTATTTACTATACTACATTTTATGGTTATTTTAGAGTATACTCCTACTTACAAAAAAATACGTTAACTGTAAAAGAGCTTCAGGCAGGTCCCTGTAGGAAGGATTCCAGAAGAAGGCATTGTTATCATAGAAGGTGATGTCATAGAAGATGACAGTTCCATGCATGTTATTGCCCCTGAAGACAGTGGGACAACAGGTGAAGAAGAAAAACAGGGATATTGATGATCATGACCATATGTTGTCTCAGGCTAATGTGTGCATTTGTGTTTTAGTCTTTAATAAAAAGCAAAACAATAAAATAAAAAGAGAGCTTTGTTGTACAGATTATTTCATCACCCAGGCACTGAGCCTCATATTCATTGGTTATTTTTCCTGATCCTCTCCCTCTTCTCACCCTCCACTCTCTGATAGGTCCCAGGGAGTATTGTTACCCTGTATGTGTCTATGTGTTCTCATCATTTAGCTCCCACTTATAAGTGAGAATATGTGGTATTTGGTTTTCTGTTCCTGTGTTAGTTTGCTAAGGATAATGGTCTCTAGCTCCATTCATGTCCCTGCAAATGATGTGATCTCATTTATTTTTATGGCTGCATAGTATTCCATGGTGTATGTGCACCACATTTTCTTTATCCAGTCTATCATCCATGGGCATTTAGGTAGATTCTATGTCTTTGCTATTGTAAATAATGCTGCAGTACACATATGCATGCTTGTGTCTTTATAAAATAATTACTTATATTCTTTTAGGTATATACTCATTAATGAAACTGCTGGGTCAAATGGTATTTCTGTCTTTAGGTCTTTGAGGAATCACCAGACTGTCTTCCACAATGTCAACCCTGCTTCTTACTCTACTCTGACTTAACTAAAGGGCATGCCAATCTAGAGTTAGTTTTCCTTATTCACAGATACAGCCTGGGCTGTTTTTTCAGGAATAGTTTCAATTTTCTTCAGGGCTTTGGAAGTTAAATTAGTTCAACAACAAGACTCTGATGCCCATGATTTTCTTTTTAAAGAGTCCAATAGAAATAAAGCCACATCATTATCACCAACATATTTAGAAAACAAGAGATTTCTTCTGAGAAATATTATATGCCTAGAACCTAGCATTTGGTATTGCCAAAAGCTGGAGAAGATAGCCAATGTTATCTGAGAAAACGAAGGATGCCTTTGGTTTATCTTTAGCAGAGTGCCTCTCAGTTCATACGGGTTGCCCAGAATCTGCAATCTGTAACCTTGCTCAGTTGGGCAGAAGCTCCTTGCAGATGGTTCCCTTGGAACTGTGCATTTGCTTTCACTCCTTGTTCTCTCAGACATCACTGCTTTCTTGGCGAATAACATTTTTTGCAATGGTGGAGTCCCAGCTCCAAGATTGCTTTTTGTGCTATTTTTTCTTTTATATCCATATTTTCAAAATCTGTTCATTTATACTTATACCTTGAGTCTCATGTTTCTGCCACCCGAGTTCCAAATGGAGTCAGCCTCTGCATTTATCAGAGTGACCCTTCCCACTGCCTTTTGTTTTTTGAATTACTTATATCCAAGACATCAGTCTTCTAGGGAAAATTTTTCCTCCAGTTCAGAGCCACGATAAGACCACATAGTTGGAGGTGGTTTTAGAGTCTTTGGCCCAGCCACAGGAGTACAATCTTAGTTCTTTCTCAATTTCTTTTTTGTCCGATCTACAGTATCTATACTTTAAAGACTGAATCTTACTAATGTACATAGAACTCAGTTTGGCAGCAAAAAATGTGGCTTAGCTCTCTTTCTTTCTTTTTTTTTTTTTGAGATGAAGTCTCATTCTGTTGCCAGGCTGGAGTGCAGTGGCATGATCTCAGCCCACTGCAATGTCCACCCCATGTTCAAGTGACTCTTCTGTCTCAACCTCCCGAATAGCTGGGATTACAGGCGTGCACCACCATACCTGGCTAATTTTTGTATTTTTAATAGAAATGGAGTTTCACCATGTTGGCCAGAATGGTCTAGATCTCCTGACCTCGTGACCTGCCTGCCTCAGCCTCCCAAAGTGCTGGGATTACAGGTGTGAGCCACCGTGCCCATCCAACCCTCTTATATCTAAATGGCCAGTGCACAAAATATTTGTTTTTCTTGTGACAGATTATGTGCTACTCAAGCAGTACTTCTAGGGTAAGCTATAGGAAATTGTCATTGAGGCTTTCTGCAGGTGATAAATGCAAGTTGGTGACTGCTGAGATCCAAACCCAGCCTGAATTTTCCCCATTTATGTGGCCAGCATTTGCTGAGGTCCTTATGAGGCTGCCATTAATTCACAGAAGCTATAACATTGTTTGCATGCCCTGCCTGAGACCTCAGCTGCCTGCACGTCTTCAGAAGCCCTCCTCTGCTCAAGGTTAGGGCCTTGCATAGAGGTTAAGCCTCTTTGACAGAGGCACATAAAGCCTGAGCACCATTCACTTGAAGCTACGCATGCATATTCTCCTGCTGTTACGGAAATGGCTACTTCACTCTGGAAAAAGCAACAATAAGCAGCACCAAACATTTAGCACAGCTGATTGAAGCCTCAGGGCCTGTTCCCAGCAGCCAAGAGCCAAGGCTTGAGGGAAAAAATCTGCCTGGGCTAGTATATGCCTTTACAAAGCACCCAAGATAAGAATGTTCTTCCCACACACAAAACTCATGGCCCCAGACCATGTTTCTTAGCTACATCAAAAACCTCTTCATGGATATCTTCAGCTTCTCTAATGATTCTCTTTTTCTTTATTGCCCAGTATTTCTGCCTGCGTATCTGGGGGTGGGGGTGTGGGAATCGATACCCTCATTCTCCATATATTCTCTGGTGTAAAAAGATTGAGAGATAGAATATATCAGGAAGTCACAAATCACCATGTACAGATTTCCAGTGGTCACATCAAACCTGTTTTACCACAGTAAATTCTCTTAGCCTATTTTGAGAATATAAAAGAATCCAGAGAATAAGAATAAAGAAATTTTATGACAATGCATTCTTTGGAGAATACTGCGTGAGTCTCATCTGATTCCGTCTCAATCATGAGAGGTTGGTCTATCCACCCTGTCTTAATCCTTCCAGTGGTTTTCAAAGTATAATTTGGAGAGATTATAATGTGACTCCCATGGGTTAGGGGCATAGCCGACTGAAATCTTCCCTGTGTCTGAGAATCTTGGAGCATGAGAGATCTTTTGAATGTTCTACAGAGATGCTTCTCTATAGGGATTGCCCTGCTTTTTCAGTTGTTTCCAAGAACTAAGAAACACAAGTGATTCCCAGGGACTGGATGTGGGTCCTTGGAAATCATCTAGTCCAACAGAACACACCAGATGGAGGTTGGAGTGAGAGGGAAGAATGAGTGGGAAGAGACAGAGTGAACATCTCAGGGCTCAGAAGGAGCATGAGCAGTCGGCACCTTGAGTGATAAGAAGCTGGAGGTGTTCTACCCATGCATTGTCTTTCACATGAATTATCATTTCAACAGTGGGCGGAAAGCATTCTTCCCATGCAGCAATGGTCATTTAGTAGTTTGCCATGAAGATTGACTTGGTAATGCATGTAAAAGGCTTAGGACAGCATGCTTATTAGCCTATCATCAGTACCTACATGTTTAACATTATATGACAAATTCTCGGTGAGTGTCTTAGTTCCACTCTTTCCTACTGTTTATTACACACACCTTGCTCCACTCCTGGCCAGTCAACTTGCACACACAGTCATTTCTGCTATAATGCACCATGTGTGTGCCTAAGAATCGCTGCTCTGTGTAATGCCATGCAATTAAAACCACAGAGCTTGGGATAAATCGGCTTAGGCACACAACCCTCATAATCAGTGACTCATTTTTTTAAAAGGTAGAAATATGATAAACATGGTAGCACACCCTGTATCTAGGATAAAAGCTGAAATTAAAACAAAAATGGTAGCGCGGTTTTTTCCATGTTAACTGGTTAAGAAACACTTACCTATTATATTCAGTATGGCACCTGGAGTTTGCTTGCAGAAGTGGACAGCTCTGAGGTTTTGTGCAGTGAGGGAAGGAGCATCTTCTGAAACCAGACAGAAAGCTATAATGTAGACGGGTGTGGCTTGTGGTACTTGTGAGGTGTGTGCATTTGTGTGCTTTGTGTATTTCTAGGTGGCTCCCTTCGGCTGAGTGCAGTTTTCTGTGTTTACCTACTGCTTCTCATGGATGAAAATACATGTAAACAAATGCAAAATTTGTGTTTTCCTAAAATTTATGATAACATACCAATTACATTGGAACAAATTCATATTTTCAAAATAAGCAGAACTAACAGTACATATTTAAAAACCACAAGCCACACATCCCCTAGCCTGCTTTGAAAAGGGATACTATATAGAAATATGATCTCCTGGCTGGGTGTGGTGGCTCATGCCTGTAATCTCAGCACTTTGGGAGGCTAAGGTGGGCGAATCACGAGGTCAGGAGATTGATACCATCCTGGACAACATGGTGAAACGCCATCTTTACTAAAAAAATACAAAAATTAACCAGTTGTGGTGGTGGGCGCCTATAATCCCAGCTACTCAGGAGGCTGAGGCAAGAGAATCACTTGAACCCTGGAGGCGGAGGTTGCAGTGAGCTGAGATCAGGCCACTGCACTCCAGCCCGGTGACAGAGTGAGACTCTGTCTCAGAAAAAAAAAAAGAATATGATCTCCTAAGTGCAACAGTTACAATATTTGGATTTAGGCCATGAGTGTTTGCCAAAAGAAATATATAATGGAGAAGAGAGTTCTGGAGACCTTTGTTAGGAAAGCCAGAACATCCTCACAGAGTTACTCAACTCTGGCTAAAGTATATGTGAAGACCTAGGCAACACCTAAAGAATTACTGTGCATTTTGAAAGCAGGAGAAGGAAAAGAACAGGAGGAAACAGATCACCCTCATCAATTCTTAGTAAAAACAAAGGAGATACAACTCAGGCTGCACTCTCATCTGAGAAATCTGAATGTAGCTACTTTTTGTCTATTTTTGCCAAAAGTTAAGACATAGGATCATAGGAAAAACACAATGTTTTCTAAATCAATCAATCAAAGCCATTAAATCCTAATTCTTCTACTTCAAGTTTCATTAAAAAGAAATTTCTATTTATTTTTAACTTTGGTTTTGGGTTC